TATTATTTTTTCAACTATTCACTCAGTACACGTTGACACTTGTTTATAAACACACATGAGAACAATACAAGGGCTCCTTATAGCATCTACTACTGCACTCTAGATACATTTCTGAACGCAGCTGATTTCTAGTTGTGACATCAGCTTACGCATGCGCACGAAGCTTCCTGGGACGGCGAATATCTTGCCAAAATCCATCACTGGTTGGCGGCAAATAAGGTTCTAACTTACCGGCTTCTGCGCTCAGTTACCTAGAGTGTCGCCTTTGCGGTCTGCGTGCAGGTCCTGCATCAGAGCTCCTTGTAGTGGTGTGGTCAGGAAATCCTCTTTTTGCACAAGGTTGAGGGAGACAACTTCTGATGACGATTTTGATCGAGATTTGTCACAATTCTCGGCACAAACCGCGCGTTTAATATCAAAGTGTTGAATCACGGCCCGATTTAAGTACGTAAGCACTTCACTAACTCGTGTCGCCGAGGTGATGATTCGGACGCAATTAAAAGGGATATGGAAGAAGAGGCCTTGTTCGGGGAATCAAGAAATTAAGAATTGGTTTTATATAATAATTATATATTCTAGTATTAAGATATATAAAGGTCTAATTCTAAAAGAAATATTCTACACTACTCTAGGATGGGAATTTATAATTATCAGCGTAAAAATTATGTAATCTAACTGTTCCAAATCTTACGAGGTTCTTAGGAATAGAGTTAGAATTAAGGTTTAGGAGTTCTCCGGCCGATGCTGGAGACTTGAGAGATGGAGAGGTGTTTCGGTGCTTACGCGACTCTCTATACTTCTCTACGACTCATGACTGACGAGTCCGACTCCCCATTCTAGACTACTCTCTCTCTTACCGTTCCTTCCAGATTTTCTCTAGTGAGATGGGGATTCTGATTTGGCGAAAGAGCCATTTACTTACATCCCTCGAGAGGAGAGACGGCTTAAGTTTGGCCTGGTGGCCTTCTGGGCGCGCTCGGTAGGAGTGGTAGGGAAAAAATGTGTGTCAGTACTATCAGTGACAGGAGAGCGTCCCGATTGATCACGGTACGATTGGACACAACCAACCGATGAAAAGAATTATCTAGTGAATTACTAGATCGAACCAATCATTACAATCTATATCTAATCGTATCGTGGTCAATCGGGTCCCACTCCAGTGACAGACGTGACAGTGTTGATATGGGGTGTATATCAGTTGGACACGGGGCAATTGGACACAGTCCAATCACAAGTCGCTGTTCCAAGGGACCCTACAAATGTCTCTAATCACACGGTGCTGTGATTGGCTGTGTCCAAATGCACCGTGTCCAAGTGCACCGCTCCCGTTGATATGTTTATGAATATATATATATATATATATATATATATTTGTTGTGCATACTTCGATCTTCGTATGTGTCTTCTCTGCGCATCCTCGAATAATATGCGCATGATATAAATTTCATTATATGAAAATATTATATTTATATATGCATTCAAAATCAATACAATCTTAGCAGGCAATGTTACATCAATATAGTACAACATGTTGTTTTCACGTTAAATTTTTATACATACATTTGGTACATTACTGCAATATGATATTGCTATTACAAAAATGTAACTATTTTGCTACGTTATCCCAATATTTTAGTAATATTAACATTGCTATTCTATAATATTGAATTAATATAATATTACATTGACATTCAATAAAATATAACTTACTGTAAATATTCTGGCAACATTCTAACAATAATAACGTTGACTTTTGTGCTATGTGGGATAATGTTACAGTACTACGAATTGATATTGGCAAAATCAAAGTGTTATGGCTCCTGCACACAGGACGCGGTAATGCTTGCCGCGCGGCGGAAGTCCGCGCGACAGCCAATCAATATGTTGTTTTTCTGGAAAAGCTAGAAGGTTATTACGGAAAGCAGCATATTGATTGGCTGTCGCGCGAACTTCCGCCGCGTGGCAAGCATTACCGCGTCCTGTGTGCAGGAGCCATAAGGAGCGCCGCACATGAATTGACATAACAGTAACGTAAGACATACCGTAAGAATTGACCAATCACTTTGGGTATCGTCGAACCGTAAGGTCGCCATTTTTGTGAATACTCGATTGTAATTGGTCCATTTTTACGGTACGTCTTGCGTTATGTTATGTCAATTCGTGTGCGGCGCCCCTAAGCAAATTGACCAATTCCATTCTCACGTTTCAAGAATAATCGATTGCGATTGATCTATTTACTTACTGCTTATTTCTCACTACTACTTCTACTGCCTTTATAGATGACGCATAAAGGGACGTCTACATTGGAAGTAAATAGCAAGAAGTAGGAAGTAAGAGTAAGAAATTGACCAACCACAGTCGAATGTGAGAAGAATAATCAACTACGATTGGTCAATTTCTTATTCTTACTTCCTACTTCTTACAGGAGCGGTGCACTTGGACACGGTGCATTTGGACACAGCCAATCACAGCACCGTGTGATTAGAGACATTTGTAGGGTCCCTTTGAACAGCGACTTGTGATTGGACTGTGTCCAATTGCCCCGTGTCCAACTGATATACACCCCTTCTTACTGCTTACTTCCAATGTAGACGTCCCTTAAGGGGATATAATTGGAAATAAGAGGTTTGTTCGTGTCGCATGCCCAAACGTGCTCCTACTCGCTCCAACGCACTCTGATTGGTCCGCGTGATGACGTAAACCAATCAGAGTGCGTTGGAGCGAGTAGGAGCACGTTGAGGCATGCGACGCGAACAAACCTAAGCAGTAAGAAGTAGGAAGTAAGAATAAGAAATTGACCAATCATAGTTGATTATTCTTCTCACATTCGACTGTGGTTGGTCAATTTCTTACTCTTAGGCTAAGTTCCCACTTAGCGCGTCACGCGTCGCGTCGTCTGCCTTCGTCACGAGTTAACCAATCAAATCGTTCCATTGGAACAAGTGCGTCATGCGTCGCGCGCGCGTCATCACAATTAGAGAATTTGATTGATTAATTTGTGACGCAGGCAGACGCGACGCGTGACGCGCTCAGTGGGAATTCAGCCTTACTTCCTACTTCTTACTACTTAAGCTAGCGACACACGATGCTTATTTTCATGCTGGATTGCTTGCTGGATGGAAATACTCTGTTCTGATTGGTGCATTTCTGAAAACGTACCAATCAGAATAGGATATTTCCATCCAGCAAGCTATCCAGCACGAAAACATCGTGTGCCGCTGGCTTTACTTCCAATGTAGACGTCCTTTTACTGCTTATTTCTTAGTACTACTTCTACTGCCATTGGCTTGGTTTATATCGTGCACTTGATACGCGTATTAAATAGTAACTTTCTATTAGATAATCTTAATATCGACGATATATATAAACAACGGTATATTAAGCTGGTATAATACTCGTCAACAAAACATATTGATAGAATGCGTCACTGTTGATATGCATTGTCGATATTAAGATTATCTAATAGAAAGTTACTATTTAGTACGCGTATTAAGTGCACGATGTAAACCAGGCCATTGTAAATGACGCTTTAAAGCATCAAATTCAATACACGTATTAATGGCTCCTGCACACAGGACGCGGCGAAAGTCCGCGCGACAGCCAATCAATATGTTGTTTTTCCGTAAGAGCTAGAAGGTTATTACGGAAAGCAGCATATTGATTGGCTGTCACACGAACTTCCGCCGCACGGTAAGCATTACCGCGTCCTGTGTGCAGGAGCCATAATGTTTTGACGACGTAAACCAGGCTCGATTCTTGACAGTGTGCGAATGAGATACGCATGCGAAAATCTACAGTATACGTAACGTGAACTATACATTTTCGCATGCGTATTTCATTCGCATACCGTTAAGAATCAAGCCCCAGGGGGTCGATTGTGTATCTTGAAACGGAGTGAAAATTACAAAAGTGAGCAAATTCACTAGGCATTGTCCAATGAAGTTATGGCTTCTGCACACAGAAAGCAGTATCTCAAGCGACCAATAAGAACGCACTGAGTATGTTTACGATAGACATGATTCATTGGAAGCTCCAAACATTTCGAAGTGCTATATAGACCAATTACAATTTTTCTTTATACACTTCAAAGTTTTGCAGCCCCAAACGGATCGTATGTAATGTATTGCGGCATATTGGCTTGGGAGTTGATTGTATATTGGAGTGAAAATGAGAAAAGTGAGCAAATTTACTAGCATATTTGGCTGCGTTCCGTTTCCACGCATAATGCGCATGAAGCGCAGCGTTAGAGTGACAGAGATACGAAAGTAAGATAAAATGAGAGGGAGAGCACTCGGGTGAGGTTCTCGAATCTAGGTTAGGTTAGTTCTCGAACGCATGAACTGCCTCAGCTCCGAGGTAGTGCAGTCCATGCGATCTCATGCGTTCGAGAACTAACCTAACCTAGGTTCGACAACCTCACCCGAGTGCTCTCCCTCTCTTTTTATCTCACTCGTATCTCTGTCACTCTAACGCTGCGTTTCATGCGCATCATGCGTGGAAACGGAACGCACCCTTTGTAATGGCTTCTGCACACAGGACGCGGTAATGCTTGCCGCGCGGCAGAAGTCCGCGCGGCAAGCATTACCGCGTCCTGTGTGCAGAAGCCATTACAAATATGCTAGTAAATTTGCTCACTTTTGTCATTTTCACTCCAATATACAATCAACTCCCAAGCCAATATGCCGCAATACATTATATACGATCCGTTTGGGGCTGCAAAACTTTGAAGTGTATAAAGAAAAATTG